TACAGCACTGCATTGTGGCAACGCAAGGAATTGGTAACATTGGGTTCGCTCTCGCAAACACTTATTAACGAAATGCCCGCCTCACCCATCACATTGTGTGTTGTGGCCAACAATTACAGTCTTGCTAAGGAGTCGAAGGAGTCTCTCTGTATGCTTAACCGCGCCATTCAGGTGGATCACGACTTTGCGTACGCCCACACCCTCCGTGGGTACGAGTTATTGTACCTGGACCTAAAGTCTGAGGCGGTGGATGCTTTTCATGAGGCAATTCTAATCGATGGTGGCCACTACAACGCATACGCAGGTCTTGGCGAGTTGTACTTTAGAAGTGAGGATTTGCAAAAGGCGCGTAATTACTTTCAACAAGCCATCAGTATCAATCCTTTACCGACCATCATGAACCGGTATGCCGCTACATACCACCGACGAGATGCCACAAGGGAAAACCTGAATGAAGCGCTGCGTATATATGAAAGCGCCATTCGAAGACATCCGACCAACCTTGGTGCTCGTCATCAGCGTGCAGAGGTGTTGATTCGTCTCGGTCGCTTCCATGAAGCCCATGATGAATTGTTAGGGATGACAAAAGAATGTCCCGATGAGGCAATGTTGTATGTGACACTTGCGAAGTGCGTTCATCTCATGGGCTTAACTGGTCAGGCGGTACAGTACTACCACACCGCGATGGACTTGGACCCACGACGGGTCGGCTACATTAAGAGCTGTTTGGAGAGGCTGGCGATGGGAAAACCAGATGTTGCGGAGGCGAATGCCTAGAGGCCACTAATATTATTATCATTACTATTACTATTATGTTTTGGCGGGTAAGGGAATAAAAAGGGGTGGGGGAGTTCATGCCACCAAACGGTTGGAGAATTATTTTGCTCCCTGAATGCATGGGTCCTGTTTTTTTTTTTTTTTTTTTCTGCTTTACTTTGTGTCTTTTTGTTTGGGTTGTTGCGTTCGCCTCCGCACAAAACCGAGGGTAAGGGGTGTGGGCGGAGGGAAAAAAGGGGGAAAAAAAGGAAAAATTCCGCAGAATTCTCTTTTGAGCCCTCGTCTTTGGTTTCTTAAAAAGAGCCGTTAAGAAACGCAAAGAGAAAAGCGGTTCCGCTTCGACAAAAGAGCCTGGACCGGGAAATGACGGAGAAGCTCACACTTGCCGATGATGCAAAGGACATCTGTGAAGAGGTGGTATCACGGCACTTTATGCCGGTCGTGAGGTATCAGCATGAAAAGATCCCCGCCATGGTGTCTGCCATCACAGAGAACGTCGTACAGCGTCTGACGCTGGAGGCAGCTCTCCCAAGAAAATACATAGCGCACTGTGTCGTCTTTCAGAACAATGGTGCTGGATTTAACGCCATTTCGGCGTGCTCTTGGAATCCTGCGAGTGATGCCTGTTATGTGCACCACGCCGAAAACAAGGCAATGCATTGTGTACTGACCGTGTATGGTGTTGTGGCGTGAAAATTGGAAGGAAAAAAGAAAAAGAAAAAGTTTTTGTTATCAGTATGGGCTTGAGCCCTCCCATTTTTTTTTTTTTTTTTTTTCTGGCGTATCCGTGTGAGTACTTTGACTTTCCTTGAGTACCAAAATTTTGTTTGAGCACTTTATTCTACGTTTTTTTTTTTTTTTCTATGCTGTTTCCTTTCTTGACCTGCTGGTCTTGAAAAGTGGGGGGTTAAGGAATTGTCTAGCTGCGGAAGAGATGCTGCGTCGTTGTGGTGTGTGTCGTCGCACGGCTTTTGTGACAGATGTAGAGGGTGACCTATCGTACTTCATTCGCTACGCTGAGCAAAGCAAAGTCTTGTCGTGGATCAACGGACGTCTCGAATTCCGTGACGAGACGTCCCACTTTGTGTACGGCGGGGACGCCTTTGATCATGGCGACGACATCGCGTTTGCCAAAACGCTGTTGGACTTTCGTGATGCCTACCCATCACGTGTGCATCTTATTTTGGGTAATCGTGACATCAACAAGATGGCGTTTGGTGCTCCAATGGCAAAGGTGCTTGGTACGTCACAATTGTCGCCCGAGGCGGCGCAAAGATTAGTTTTCCCATTGACTTTGACCAATGCTTCTGGTGGCAAGGAATGGTTTTCGTATGCGGGGTATTTGGAAGCAAATAACCTGCCATCAGTGGTGACCCAAAGTAACATTTATTCAATGGACGCTAGCGTACAAAATGGGAGCCCCCAATACCTTTGAGCACAGGCGAAGGGAATTGCAAAATATGCGGAGAGGAGGAGGGGATGTGACGGATGTTGAGGTGGCGCAAAGTTTTCTTGACGCTGCCTGCCCTGGAGGTGTATATTATGAGTATTTAAGGCAAGGAAAGATTGCTGAAGTTTTGGATGGAGTTTTATTTGTTCATGGAAGCATTGTGGATCAGAATTTTGGGATTCTCCCAGACAAGGAGGTTTTTGTGGATGGTGCACCCTTAAAACGGTGCAACGTTAGTATGAAAGACGCTACGGCCGAGGAGTGGCTTGGTGCCTTGAATGGCTTTAAGGATGAGGAGTTTAGACAATGGGCGTCAGGAGGTGATGGGATGCTCTTGCGTCAATATGCCTTTCCTGTCTCCATTGTTCCACATTCTGTTGTGGTTCACGCTCTTGTTGAGTCTGATGGTCCTCATTACTTGGGACTTGACGCAGTGGAGTTTCTGAATAGCAGTGGGATATCGATTGTTTGCGGTGGCCACAAGCCTTCGGGAGACACCCCAAGCATTGTGCAGCAGCCTGGTCTGTTACGCCTGGCGGCCGATAATTCATATTGCGCAGGGGATGGCACTCGCGGTGAGTCTGTTGGGGAAGTCCTGTTGGAAGAGGACGGTGCCCTATACATCCATGGACGGCGCGTGGATGGTACGTCGTATGGGTTCCTTGCTACAGAGGCGCCGCTGGGCCGTCACCTGGGCGACGGATGGTGGGTCAAGGCAAAGGTGGGGGAGGATAGTTTTGAGGCGCAACGCACCCGTGATGCGTATCGAACGAGGGACGCCCAGGCCCTCACGGCGGAGGAGGTAGAGACTCGTCTTCGCCAGTGGCGTGAACCCCCTGTAGGGGGAAATGTCCCTGAGCGATGGAGCAAGCAGCGGCTCGATCAAAAACCGCGGGTGGTGAAAGTCAAACGAACTGGTGGGGGTCTGGGAAAAAGTGGGACGGTCCCGCCCCAAAAAAAGACTGCTTGAGAGTTCTTGCTTTGAACGTCTTCTATTTTACTTTTTTTTTTTTACTCTTACCTTTCACCACGCACGAGGCGTGGCTCAACAGTGCAATTGTTTCTGAGATTGCTTCCTGTCTTCTTATAGCTTCCCGCGTGATTGGGAAGCGCGACGCGTCACTATTTCGTGCACTATCGTCGCTTCACCCTCTTGGATCTGGATCCTGTTGCATTCAATGCGTTCCTCAATTTTGACTGCCACAGCCATATATATATATATATATATCTTTTTTTTCTTGTGTGATTTTATGTCTTTCTTTCGAGTTCTTCCGCGAGGGAGTCGGTGAGTGTGCGTTACGCCATGTCATGGACACGGGCGCTGCAAAAATACTTGGTTTCACCGCCGCACGTTCGATACCGTGATGGTGCGAGCGTCTTTGAACGTGTGTGTCGTGCGCATCTTCATGGTTCTCCCGGGCATACCATTGATGTTCGTAGCCTTCCTCTCCTGAGGCGGTTGCGGGGGGAGATGCTCAAGAGTGGTACACCTGAGCAAAAGGCGCGGACATTGGAAACCATTTTGGCCTGTTACTCTAATGCGAATTGCTCTTACACGTATGACCCTGTGAGATCTGAGAAGGAAAATCACCTGCTAACTCTAGAACAACTCCAGTGCCTCGTGGAAGCGCAAATTGCTGGCGTTCCTGTGCGAGCGGTGCACTATCGGTTTCTTCTTCAATCACCACAATTGTCGCAGTTGAGTCCCAATGTCCCACGCTTATTGTTTAGAAAGGTGGCGAATGCCGAGGGTGTGTTGACCGATGATGCCCGTGTAGATGTCAGTGTGGGACTTGCATCCGGAGGCCATTGGGAAGAAGCGTTGCAGCTTTGTCCGCGTTTCCGCCTTCTGGATGTAATCGAACGGGTGGCTTCGTCGCAGCGCCATGGATGGCGTCATGCTTGCACCTTGGTCTCGCACCTCAAAGAAGAAGCGGTCGTTCAAGAAGAGAGTTATTTAGTGAGTACTGCTGCGGCACTGGCACTCCGTTTCGCCGCCACTCGCGACATGGCGATTGGAAGACGGATGGAAACACTTATTGAGGCCTACTTCCTCCAACATCGGGAAACCCCGCCCCCTAAGCGCGTCATCGATTATTTTATTTCCGCCTGTTCGCCTGAACAGTGGCGTTTTGCCACGGGGCTCGTCATGCGTTACAATGGCGGAGTCGAAGACGCGGCGCGGATTCCTCTGGGAAAGGTCATGGCCTTGATGAACGGCGCCCTTCAGTGGGAGCGGGCGCTCCTCCTTTATCAAGCCGTTCCGTCCGCACTGTCGTCGCATGAACGTCAACATGCCGCTGTGCATAATCATGCTCTTGTGGCGCTTGCCAAAGGTAATTTGTGGCAGCAGGCGATTCGATTTTACGCATCACAGCCGGCAAAGAACCTTCATACATACAACGTCTGGCTGCGAATGGTGGTACTTGAGCGAAGGATTCCCTTCGCCTCGGTCTGGGAGAGTTGCATCGAGGCCTTCCAGCGCATTGAAAAACCAGACCACCGCTTCGCCGAAGGTTTGGCACACCTTCTGGCGTCCATTGGGGTGTGGGCTGCGGCCTTGAATGTTGCCAAAACTGCCTCGGAAAAAACACCGCGCGTTCTTATTACGGCCATCAGTGCGGCGGCAATGGCTTCCAATGAACGGGTGGCCTGGAAGGCGGCGAAGGAGCTTAGTTCATATCGACGAGGGCTGTCCGCAAAGCAGTTTTGCACAGCAGTGGCGATAGTTGGTTGTTGTACAAAAAACGCCCCTCAGGACCTCACGGACGCGATGGCCGACGCTCTCGACAGCTGCACGATATCCCAGGAGCAGTTTGACGATGCCATGTGCCACCTGGGGCGGTGCATGGCGCTTTTGGGCGGCGCGGCCCGAAATGATACGAATGCCGAGACGCCCTCTGCCATCCGCCTCATTTTGCGAAGGGAAGGCGCAGAGCGAAATGCGGCAAGCTGGGTCTTTGCCCTCGCCCTGCTGAAAAAGATGTCCGATAGGGGATGGTCGCTGAAAGCCGTTGCGCCGGCTATGCTTTCCTCCGGCCTCGGCGCCTCGATCGCCATCCGCTTTTTGCCCGGCTAATTCGCCGCACTGTGTGGCGCATTCCTTTCTCATAAGCAGCTACAAAGCGCGCCCCACCATCGCAAGGCGAAAAAAACGAAACGCCTTCCCCACTCCTCTCTCCGTTGGGACGTGTCGGCGGGGCTGCTCCCGCGCTGTTTACCACTTTTGGCGCTGCAACCGCCATCGCTATTCTTTTTCCGTCTCCTTCTTTTCACAAGGGTTCCATTAAGCGGTTTCCGGAACCAAACTAAAGCCGGACAGGCCCACCGTCGCTCAGCACCAACCCCGCGTCACAGCGTGTTATCAAGGGAACCAAGTGAGGATGACAGTGTGCATCACCGGGGAATTCGCCCTCAAATGCAGGAAACGGCAACGCACCCGCCGGAAACAGGTGCGCATGATGTCCCTCCACGTCAGCCGCGCAGCCTGTCTCCGATGAGAAGAAATTTGAAGAAACGGACGTCGGCGCACTCCCCTCCACCCCGGGCAAATTAATCAGGACGATGGAAATATCAATTCGGGGGTTCCACACTTGCCGAAGGATGTTATGACGCTCTGACTCCTCCACGTGCATGTCGACCCAATGCTTTATTTCATTTTTTTCCTTTTCACGCGTTTGCATCGTTTTTTTAACTACATCCAACACCGATTGGATGGCAAACGGCACCTTGTCAACCAGCACCGTTCCATTCCTCGAAACACCGACGATCGAAACCCCAAAATCAATGGCTATCAATAAATGGTACCGTTGATACAAGACTTCCATCGGCCAACGCCACACACTTGTTCCGGAGTAGATGTTGTCCCATGGCTCGTTTTCGTGACTCTCGGCATCCTCTACGGGTGCGCCGTGCGTTCTCTCCAAAAATATGGGCATGGACGACGCCTCAGGAGAGTTGTGCGATAAGCCTGCAAACTGCTCGTTGAAAGTTGTCAGTGTGTTGGGCGTCAAGGGCAACGCAATCACACGTCGCAGCTCCTCAAGAGATCGGAGAAGATAGCAATCATCATTCAATTGAGATGGTTTTCGCAAACCCCTGGCGCCTTTTTGTCCGATGGGGTGTTTCAGTGCATATGAAACCTTGTCTGTGGGACGGAATGACTCTGCGCTCTCAAAAAGTAAGTATGGATTCACTGGAGAAGAATCCATGACAAGACCAAACTAAAATGAGACAAGTAGAAGAAAATAAAAACAAGAGAAGGCGCATAAAGGGACGTAACCGCAGTAAAACGTATGATGTGCCCCCGCCCTCCGTTCCACATTTATGGGCTGCTTGGTTGATGGGCTTATTGGTTCGTTATTTCATTGGTTCTTGGAAGCGACGACTTATCAATCCACCGCGCTGGCCCTGGCGGATGCGTAACGGGTTGTGTTGCGCGCCTTCGCCTGAGGCGGCGTCTCCGGGAGTCGAAGCTCCCCTTCGCATTTCCACCCAGCGAGGCGGACGTGCCCCACGATGGCGGCCAGCGTGCGGACAACCAAATTTATCCGCAATGACACAAAGAAACCCCTAACAAAGAAGGGCCGCGCTCCAGAAGGATCGCCGCGCACAATTTTCCACGACACGCGGGTGGCGACCGCTTCGGCTAAAGCCAGGCACCGTCCCAGGACAAACGCGGTGCCGTGCCGAGACCTTTCGCGGGCCGGAGTCGTCGGCACGCACCTCGACCCGCCCGCCAAACACCGCAGTGCCCGAGTACACCATCGCCCGCCCGCCGCTCAGCACCACTCCGACAGCGCGTCGGTCCCGGCATCAAAACCCTCGAGTCGCGGGCCGTCGCGTTCTTGCGTGTCGGCAGGCCGTGCGCAAACGCGAGCAAGCAGCGGCCCCCCGGCACGGCCACCACACGCAAAGAAGCACAGACGCAACCACGCCAGGGGCAAAAACACCCTCCCACAATCGACCGGCACCGCGCGCCAGCCATTTACACGCAGGAGCCGTGCGCAGGAGCCGTGGGCCGGCACCCCTCCTCATCAAGCGCCGCCGCGCCACAACGCACCGTAGAAACGGCGCGCGAACCACGCGAGCGGGCACCGTACACGAGGCAGCAAAAACATTTCGCCCTGCAATTGCCCACGCCAAACACCCCCAGTATGCGCCGCCAACGGCGCCAGGAAGGCCGCAGAAGCGGCCTCTTCCCTCCGCCCGCCTCCTGCTTGGGGCGAACCTCCCCATCCTCCCCCTCTCCTCGGTCCGGACGCCGCAAGGGACTGCCAAGAATAAGCCGTGCGCAAGGCACGCCCGTGGCCGCGACGAGAGAGACAGGACGCTTCCAAGCTTGCGCGGTAGTCCTTTACTTCCCTCGGCCCCGACGGATTGGCATCACGCCTCACAGCGGGTTTTGGCGTCCCACACTCACAGTGGGTGCGGCAAGCGCTGAGCTGAGCCGCGGAAACTTAAAAAAGAAATAAAAGGAAAGAAACAAAAAGATAATTGATTCGGCGGGGCTTTCATTTCATTTGCCATGCCGCACGAGACGGCCGTTTGTTTGTGTACAAACGTTGCCCGCAACGAGAAAAAGCAGTAAAAGAAAAGAAATATTACTTTTTCACGAGCCCGCACAAAATCCTTCGTCCCGCGTGCGGCGCCCAGCCTGTTATTCCACTCCTCCTTTTGTGCGACCCGTGGGACGCACAGCGGTGAGGCCGGCACCGCACGTGGGCGAAAAACAAAGGCGAACAAGAGGGGGAAAACGCCGCGCATCACACTGCAAAACTTCTGACCATTGGGGAAAAAAAAAAAAACACGGCGGCAGGGTGTGGCTGTGTGTGTGGCGCTGCGAGTGTCTGCCCGCCCTGACCGCAAAGAAAACAAAACAAGAGGGAAAGAAATGTGTGCTCCGCCCCACAGGCCCTCGTCGCACGCCCACACGTCACGGCTCCCTCAGCGCGCCGTTCGTCGCGGCCCCTCCTCATGCGTGCAGCAGGCGAGGCGCACAGGGCCGTCGTCATGAGCGTGTCGGTGGGTGTGCGAGTGGAGCAGCCGGGCGGGAAACACACGGCACCCCTCACAGGAAGAGCGCAGAAGAAACAATTAAAAGAGGGAAGAGTAGAAAAGAAGAAACGTCCATAGTGATTGCACTAATCATCAAGCAAAAAAAAAAGAATTGTTCTTTGCGGAGAGTAATTCATTACCGGATGTGCGTTGGTGTGGGGGAGGGCGCAAGTGTCCCACACTGAGGCCGCACACTCCTCACACAGTCGCAAAGCCCCACAGTCCCAACAGCAGAAGATGCAGCGGCAGCAGCACCCTGCTCTCACGCATGGTGCCAGCAACGCTGTCATCCCGCTGCGACGAATTTCCGAGACTGCTTTTGAGTGCGAGGCCGAGTGCCGCAGCCTTTGCTTCCCCGTCCTGTGGCTGGATATCTTCCTCTTGCCCATCAGCTCCTCCCGCCGTCCCCTCATTCTCACCAGAGCTCACGCCCCCCTCAGTTGCTACTGCGGGCTCTTCTTGCCCCTTGCTTTCAGCGGTATGTGATTTTGGATTTGCTGCGCCATTTGCTGCGTCGGAGATGCCCACAGAGGCTTGGGTTGGTTGATCTCCCTGCTTGTTACCGGCAACTTCTGTCTCCACCGTTTGTGCATCATCAGACAAGGAAACGCCATCCTCCGAGCTGGCGGCACTTGAAGATGTAACAGATGCCGACTGGTCTGCGCTCCTCTCCTCTGCTGTGGGTGCCGTGGTATTGGACACCGCTGGTGTGAGTGCATCGCCACCGCTCGCACCACTGCTCCCGTTCGAGGTTACTTGTTCCGTCGGCTGTGGTGCGGCAGGAGTGGGCGCTGGAACAGTTGCCTTTGTCTCTGTGGTAACCGGAGTGGTTACGGGTTCAACGGACGGGGAAGTAGCTGTCGACGCTTTCGCCGGCTTCTTTTCCGTAAATGGAAGAGAAACTTTATTCGCGTTGAGGGCGTCAATCTCAGTTTCATTCAACGGGCGGTTGTACAGAAAGACGTTCGCCACCGTCGCATGGATTTTCCCGCTGCTCAACTGCTCATCGTACGCGCCAAAATAAAAGTGTGAGACCGCGTCCATTAATTCATCAGAAGGACGAGGCAGGGTCAAATTCAACAGGGATTTCCCGTCAACGTACACGGAGCCCACACCGTCATGCATTTTAAGCACCACGTGATACGTTTTGTCCAGCTCCCATTTAGCAAAATAATTCGGGTACAACCCGTGCTCCACGCTCCACTCCATATTATTATCGTACGACAGTCCCAGGAGTGTTGTCTTCCCCATTTTCTTCAGGCCCATCAAAGGAGTGATGCCCGTCGGCACCTCGTGGATCGACACCGTTGCCGCAAGAGTAAACCCATAGTTTGCAAAGTGGAGCGGTCTGGTCGGCCACTGCTTGTCCACGGGCCACTCGGCCCCCGCGCCTTGCCCTTCAAACGTCCACCCACTGGGAGCCTTTTTCGCCGCACCCCTCACAACAGCATTCACCCCGAGGTACTCGTCTTCCCACTCGCCCAAACGAGAATTATTTGCCAAATGGCCCACAAGCCCAGCCGTGGGGATAGGAACAGAACAGTTCCCTCTTGACAGCGCGGCGCCCGAGGCCATTAAGCCGCATTGTCTCGACAAGGCATTGTCCTTCGCGGCCCAAGTATCCAGCGCACGCCATATCCAGTGCAGCTCGGACGTCAGATCCAGGAAGAAGGCTCCAGAGTTGCTTCCAACACCGGCCTCGTACAAACAATACAGCTTATCATTCGCGTACAACAGAGAGCTGGAGGTCGCGCTATTCCCAGTGGGTAACAGGCCAACCTGGTAAATGCGGTTGGTGTCTGTTAGCCACAGACGAATCTCGTTCTTTCTGTCGTGTCTGGGATATTCCAGCTGGGTGAGGAGGATCACCTTCTTTCCACCAATAGTTGCAGTGATGAGTCCACTCTGAATGTGGAGTCCAAGACCTGCCAATGAGTTGCTCCACACGCGCGAGAGTGTCCCCAGAGCCTCCGTCCACGTGTTCCCCTTGTCAGTCGACTCGTACACCCTTTGGCGACCGTACTCACATGAGGTGATCATGATGATTTTCCCAGCCTCCCATTCAAGGATACTGGGGTTGGTGCAGCCCGCATGTGTCGCGCTTTTCGCAAAGGTCCAGTGCTGTTGACCGGGATTCATGTACATGATTGTGGACGCAGTGCTCCCTCCCATTGTCAGAAACTGCACGGGAAACACGAGCGTGCCATCCGTCATTTTCGTGATGGAAGTACTGGCATCGTTGAGGAAGCCAATCAATTCGTCGGATTCATGTGGATAGGGAGGGCGAATGCTCATAGAGACGGAAGTCATCGACAAACTTCCGCTTCGTCCAGGCCCCGTCTCCAGAAAATGAATAACAGACTCCACACCACTTCCTCCCCACTCATCGGCAAACCGAATTCTGGCCCCGTTCCGTAAGTCGTAGCCCTCCACAAATGCAAAAAGCGGTCCGAAGGGTCCAAAAGACGAGGGAAACGACATCCAGTAAGGGTGTGCAGCAAAACCATCAATACCTCCAGGTCTCGGGTACGGACTCCAATTCACCCCACGATTCACGCTGAGCTGCGCCGTCAACTGCATGGACGCATTCCCGCTCCCCAAAGTTCTATTGAACTGAGCTCCAGCAATGGCCAGCAGCATCCCGTTCACATTCACAAGATGGGGATTGAGGAAAATGTGGCCAGCGGCCGCTGCGTTTGCGACTGGATACTCCCTTGGCAACCGCTCCAAACTGTGTCTTCCACTGGAATCGCCCACTCTCGTTCCATAGTTTTGGGCCTGCACAGGCCCCGCGGCGGCGCACATCATCACGACGAGGAGGAGCAGCACCGCGGAAGCAAACACACGCCGGGACATGTTGGGCCTCTGCGGCTCACTCTCTCTTCCTTCCCTCCTCCTTCCGCTGGATCCGGTCGCGCGGCGACGGTTGTGTGTGCGTTGGGTGCCTTCACAGCAGCAACACCTGAGAGCATATAAATATGTGTGTGTTGGTTTGTTTGCAAGGAATCAAATTGAAAAACAAGCGCCAAAACAGGACGTGGCAGAAGATTGGTTGACGTCACGCATCCACAGTACAACACATCAGCATCTTCGTAACCACTGCAGTCATTATTCTCACCTTCCAAGACGGCTCAAGCACTGTGAGACCGCACACAGAAGCAGAGACACTGACTTTCACGCACGGGGGAAGACGCTCTCCGGAAAACGGCATCAATCAACAGAAAGTAGGAGCGAACGGAATCCCAAGTGCTGCAAACAAAGAAAACAACAACAACTTCATTCTCCACGGCCGTGTACAGAAGGCGACAACGCGAGATATAAACATGGAGGTGCACACACGTCTCTGATATTCGTAAATATGACCACCTGAGGTTCCAATTGCTTCTGGCGGAGTCTCGCCCACTTTTGTCCTGCCGTACAACAACGAAGCCTCACCATCCCGCAAAGCAACGTCAGGCTGTGCAAGAGCAGCAGCCGCAGGCGTGGCAGAGACAACAGCCGCGGCTACTGAAAAGTGCGTGGATGGATCCGCCGTCGCATTCACTGTTCCAGACGCCGACAGGAGACAAAGAAGAACTCGCACCATCAGTCCGTGCCTTCTGCTTCCATTGTCCACGCAAAGCACGTGGAAAACAAGAGTCATGCGGATAAAAACAACAACTTCACATACAACACCAGCGAACTTGTCAGAAAATCGCTCCTTTTTTACTTTTTCCAGATGTTGCCTGGATGCTCTTCCTGTCAGACTTTTAGCGTCCGTCAGGTTCCCCATCTGTTGTGTCATTTGGCAAGCCCGTTTCTCATACTTCGTGTTCGCAGCGACAAATCAGACAGTAATGTGATCAACAGTCACTCCGTTTCTGTTGATTTCACTCGCTGATGCTCATGACAACAGACACTTCTCCTGGGCTCCTCATGCCTCTCTCAAGTCAGGAGGTCATTGGCAACACGGGAAAGCATGCGCCTCGCCACCCCCCATCCCCCTCAAGCACAAATGCCGGTGCTCACGCCGAGAAATCCGTGTTGACCTGGTCGTTTTGCTCTCTCCGTTACTTGCAATGCGCTTCATGATTAACGGACTGTCCACGCCGGTTTGCGCCAGCACGGTAGGGTCAGAAGGAGTCTCATGCACCGAGTCCCCCAGCCATGATGCCTGTCAACCATCACCAAAATAAAAAAAAGTGAAAAACGATGGTTTTTTGGGCCTCTCCAACGCCCTTGGGACCCTCGGTCATTTTGATTGCTGCAGAAATATACGAAAAGGAATCCCCAGCAAAGAAAACTCCGTGACTACAGGTGCCGTCCCTCCTCATATTTCATAAATAACAGGTGAAAACAACATTGATCCAACCCACTCCCTGCACGTGCATTGTGCACTTCAGCACAGCAGTCAATGTTCCCAAGTAAAAGCCCCAATCTAGAAATGAATTCCGCACGACACACCAGAAAGAAAGCCGTTATCCGTGAAAGCTTCCGGCGTGGCCAATTCCATCTCTTCCCATCGCCAATGGAGGGAATACTTTGCTGTTGGCCACGGCACGGCGGAGTAACAGTGCGGCAACAAGGAACAGCAACAGCGACAGGGTCCCCCACCGAAGCAGTGGAGAATGAAGCAGAAACGCCATCCTCTCTTTCCCCCTTGTCCCACATCGCAGCACCGTATTTCCTTCACCAGACTCACAGGGCACCGATACCATCATTAGTATGCCATTCATAATCTGGGTGTATGTGGCTAAAATCATCGTCCTGCATCAGCGTCAGGTGGAGAACGCAATAGCGAAATTCCTCCTCATTTGGGTGCCACGGGGCATCGATACAGCATTGGTTAACTGCTGGTAGTGGCAGTAGTGGCGCTAGTCAGTCTGTGTGTGAGGAGGAGGAAAGGGGAGAAGAGTGCACCCAGAACGGGAAAAGAAGCTCTCGCCATTGGTGATACACGCATGCTCGCCCTATTTCCGTTTTTTTCTACCGAATTAAAACCAAGCAACAGCGGGTCGGATTCCTCTTGCACCCGCTCTCCTCTCTCCCTCCTTCACTCCCACTACCGGAAAGACATGCAGATACGCACACACCTTAGGCCAAGGTTTGCTCTTAGTCTCTCGGGTAATGGATAAAACTGTCAGTGTCTCTTATTCACTACCCACTTAAAATGGAATGGTGAATGTTCCGTGAACCCGACGCGTCCACAGCAGCGCCATGAAGCAGGAAGAGGACTTGTCCGATCACCCAACAAGATCCATCATAATTGCGGCTTCATTGGCGCCACGGTTGGCAATGCGAGAAAGGGAAGGGTCACAAAGCTGGCGAAGAGACCTGAAATAGAAATACAGCGCACTCACTCCCTGTCCAACTTTTTAATAAAAAGGAACAACAACAACAGAAAGAAAAAAAGACAGGGATGTGTCCGGGGCAATAGAGAAGACGTGGGGAAAAAAAAAGGTAGACAACTCAGTATGTACCCCTTGCCGTCAAACATATTTGTTTTTGTTCTTTGCTCTTTCTTTTCGCCTCGTTCCAAACCAATTCAGGCTCTATATGCAACAAAAATCCACGTTTACCTCCTGTCAGCTGTGAATGCAGCCCCACAGAGCACTAGAAAGCAGCTTCAATGTTTGTTCTATCAACTCCGCTTCTTCTTCATCCAGCAGCTCATCGAGCGTACCTCCTTCACTCGTCCCACGGTAGAGTGCCGCGCTCTCGATGCAACCAGACGAGCCACTGGAAAATTCCACAACGGTGAAACACCTCCGATTCGTCTGACAGCTTGCTAACGTCAACGCAATGGTACTATTATTATTATTATTATTGCTGTATTTACAATGAGTCCCGGCAAGTTTTTCCCCAGACCCTTCCAGAAAGAGGTGAAGGGAAAAGTTGGGTTCACAAGCTGCTAAAAGAGCACCGTGATGACTCGCCAGTATCAACTTCCAGTCTAAAAAAATCTCTAAAAATGGCTTAGAAACGTTAAAAAGACGGTGTTTCCTCCAATGAGCTTGCAAAGTCTGCAGATCCTCTCTGGACGGTCCCTGTTCGGCGCTATCGGTGCTGTCATTATCATTATTGTTGGCTTCATTTTTCTCACCCCGAGATGCGCGTATTTTCCCCCATGCAAAATCCAGCCGCTGCTGGAGCATGCCGTCCAGAAGCAGTTGGAGCAGCTGGCGTTTGGCCGAGAGGGCCAGCTTGGGAAGATCACTGTTGGGGCAACGATCGCATGTGGTGACGTCCCGGACGGTAGAAAGCAACACGAACAGACGAGACGTTGCCCAGACCATCACCCCACAGTAGTGGTATCTTTCCTGCGTGGATTCCCTCAGGAGTAGCTCGCCCTGTCTGGGAATCAATTGTCTCATACCGTTGCTGTCCGGGCCTTCGGATGAGTTTTTTGCCGTCATTTTCCGCGCCCGGCGCACGCATGATTCCTCCACATCAAACACACAGACAAAGTTGAGACTTTCGCATGGCGGATTTGGATAATGTTGCACAAGAGTCTCAAGGGCATCGGATGTCAAAAGTTGACCGAATAGGAGCGACGCATACATCTGCACGTAACGTAGCATGCGATTCACTGTCAGATCATAAAGAACACTACTAAAAATAAGGTCACGTTTAAGCTTTGCGGCGGCGAGGGCGGCCATACTAGCAGAGAGAGATCCACCACTGGCCATGAATACGTCAATGGCAAAATGAGCGACTTGGAACCCTACTTGCACAACAAACAATCCTCCCCTTCTAAGTGTGGCGGTTGCCGCAAGCTCG